ATAAAAAGCGAGAGTTCTTTGTTCCTGATATTTTTCTCTTTTCACCCCTGCTGGACATTACGTCACTACATATTACTCCCACTCACCCCTCCCCCCCGGGCAACCATTTTGAGCCACAATCCTCACTTCCCAGCAACCAATAGGAAGACTCTCTCTTCGCCGAACTCCTTTCTCCTAAAAATCTTCCTGAAGTCAAGATTCAAGCCTTGAAGCTCCACCCCCTTTTCCGCCGCTGCTCGTCTAATAGCCATGAAGTACACCTCTAGCACGAAAATTTCACAACAACCAATTCATCTAGCAGACTTTTTTCTAGATACAGGATTAGGCTCCCTTCACACCAAACGATTCCGAGTCTGTAGCAATCTTTCCAATTCACAGCGACTCTGAATGAACAGAGATTTGCCTTCACACCGCCACGGGTCAATCATTCTTCCATCAGTTGCTGTCGAACATGGATGCTGTTTTTAATGTTTTAAGACGATTAACGTTTCACGCTATTCATTTCACAACTGTTTTTTCATTTATTTTCAAGTTGAAATACATAAAACAAAAAATATAAGAGAACGGTTTTATTTATTTATTTTTTTATATTTTGCCTGTTAGTATCAAGTGTAATTTTTGTCTGAAAAGTAATAACAAATAATAAATATGCATTGCAACTATATTATAACGCAATTACTTTACAAATAATATATCTAATGTTTTTAATGTTAATGTTTATATTCTACAGCTTTTGTAGCTTATAGCAACCAGTTTTTTGATTATGTGTTTAAAAATGGTTTCTTAATACATTAATGAATTAAAAATTTTACATGCCATTTACATTTTGTTGGTTTTATATAACAAAAATTGAGATCTATATAGTAATAAAATGGAATCTTTTTTAAAAATTAAAATTATCGACAATATTGGTGTTTTATTTTATTTTAGCATTTTTATAAATATTTAATTCTTTTTTTCACCCAAAATTAAATAAACTCTTATCAAATTGATCTCTGTAACTATTTCAAACATCCTTCAGAATATTCCCCCGCCCCACAAAAACACACACACACATATTTTGCTTTAAAGTATTGAGTAAAGAATAAAGTTTTCAAATTTCTAAATTTGAAAAAAAGAATGCATGCAAAATCAATTTTATTATTTGCGCCAGATTATTAGGGATAAAATACAACCTACACACTCGGCGACAAAAACTAGAGTTAGTTTACATAATGAAAAAGAATACTGATTACCAAAAATATAAGCGCCATCTATTGGCATAAAAACAAACTCATACTAACCCTAACAAGAACATTAAAATCTTTAAATATCTAAAATCAGCTTCTTTAATAGAAACTTTATGTGATGTAATCACTAATAATATAAAAACAATAAAAAAAATCAACACTCTATTTGTTTCAATTCACTTTTTCTTTAAGAAATAGCTCCTGGCTGCTGGTGATTGAGGGAAGAAAATCTGACCTGCCGAATCACGCGTAAGTCAGAATGAAGGCGGATTGAGCCAGTTTCGGTTGCTGTGAATGCGGGAAGCGAATCTTTGCTTATTTGAGCGGGAAATTACGAAGCCGAATCCTGGTTGATCAGACAAGTTTGATGGTGAATTAATCGGAGTCGTTTGGTGTGAAGGAAGCCTTAAGGGTTCCTAGAAACCCAGATGCCCGCAGAACTTTCTGCATATTCCTCGCCCTCTTTGTCTGTTTGCATTCACCATGTAATCGTTGTTGCTTGCTTTTCGCTATGTCGTTTGTGTCAGTTTACTCGTTTTCTTACCAAATAACTGTGAAATCCAAATGTGGATGTCCACTTATGTTATGTGTGTGTGAAATAAAATAGTATATTAGTGTAGTATTATATAAAATAGTAATATATATATATATTCCTGTGAATTTGCATGGCAATGCAACTTTTAGGGGTATAAGAAATACTTAATGTAAAAAGACTAAAAAGAAAAAAAAAAATTCAAAATGCTTTGAACATTATTAATGTGTGTTATTAGATTTTTCGGAGGAACTGAGTGTATGGATAGTGTTAAACCTCATCAAACTAGGCGTGGGAGGTTGTTAAAAGTCGAGAATATAGCGTTTAATCTCCACCCTTATCACCTAATGGCCATTGTATATGTTTCATTTACATCATTTACGGAATTAAAAATATAAGTGTTATTTGCATTTTCTTGAAATTCACAACCCATATTAGTTAGCTGTTGTCATTAATATATACGTACACTAATTTTAAAACAAAATTTTTATCAAAAGACCATTATCTCTAAATTATGTTCATTTTCACCAGATAAGTTTCAACTTTTTTACAGTTTTCTTTTTAAGCGATATCACTTAACTATTATTAACCGCCCTAATTCTACTGAAGTAATAATTTATACTAACCCAATATAAATTACTATTTGATTCCGGTTATTTAAAAACCACAATATATAAAAAGGATGGAAAAATAATATAAATAAAGCATAGTAAAAATAAGGCCTGGGAGTATTTTGTCTTTCATATTAAAAAAATCACTGCCCAAGGAATCCTGAAAAAATATCTAAAAATGATTAATTTTGATCATTGGCAACTTCTTACTAAAAGGCTTTTCAAAATAATGAGATAAATGTTCATTGATACAAAGTAACGAACCTAAAAAATAATCAAAATATTAGAAAAACCGGAGACAAATGCATAAAAATAATGATATTTTTAATGATATTAAAAAGCAAAATGAGCTTCAATAATTGTTGTTAACGTTTCTAAAATATTTGCTTTTATACATTCATGTATCGTTATTATAAGTTAAAGTAATGTTACTTTTATATATATAAAGGATAAAAATAAAAAATAATTAAAACTTGATAAGTTTCTTGTACTTTAATGTAATTTTAATGATTTAGCTGTGCTCTCTTACTCGAATGGTAGAAATGAAAATATTTTTAAAAAGGTTCAAAACATGAGCTGAGTTCTGAAAAAAATATGAAGAGAAGAATATATGATACATTTGTATAGATTTATATAAATAAGGAATCATTAAAAAACTCAAATATATGACTGATATTTTGTAATTTATGGGACAAAAAGAAATTTTGTCGATTGCTATGTTTTGCTTTTCTCGTCTTCCATTTTATAAAAGGTTTTGGTTTTTTTAAAATATATTGTATGTTCGAATTCTATGCGTTCTACACATTTTTAAGGAATTGTAACTTTCATATTTATTCTGCAAAATTTTCTAACGAATCAAAAAATAAATTTAGCATGATAAGTCAATTTTATTTCTTTATTTATTTTGGAAACTCAAGATCTGAGTATGAAAAAAGCAATCAAAATTTTTTTCTCTTTCTAAACTACACAATTTTTTTAAAATACTTTCTTACCTTTGGGGGGCAACAAGAACTCTGGCTTAAGTTTCGCACTTTTTGATTGACGGTTTACAAGTCAAGTCATGTGATTCTACAGAACGTTAATGTGTGGGAAAGGGGAATCGACTTGACTTTAAATTGATTGATTGATTATTTATCAACAGTGCTATTGGCAACGGACGTCATAATTTTAAACCTCGTCACTACCCTATGGTTCAAAATGACCGTCGCCAACAGCCCTCGTGCAGATTGGTAGTGGGACGTTAATAGACTCTCTCCCAAAATATTTAAAGAAAAACATTAATTAAAACAAAAAACTAATTGTATGTTATTTTTAATCCACGCAAATACTCTTTCTAAAAAAAAACTTTTTTATGTAATACAAATTAAACATTTCTCTCTGATGATTTAAATCTCAGAACTTCACGAAAACATATATTCGTAGACACCTCTAAAAGAAATAAATAAGATAAATGAAAACGTATAGCACATAAACTTCAAATATTTAATTTTCGTCCGCAAATGAAATGAGAGAAATGCATAATTTTTTTTTATTACAAAGTAATATTTAGTAATTTTGAAAAAAAAACATTTGGTAAAAGCGTAAAACCTAAAAGAATTAAATCAATTCAAATCGCATGTTTGAAAAAATGAAACCAAAAGTGCTGGATCTCTCACAAATTTTTTGATTCATAAGAGAAAAAGCTTAAATAAATAATGAAACTGTAAAAAGGTTTCATGCATCCAAAGCAATGAAAGACCGGAATTCACTTTTGAAAGATAAAAAGATGTTCAAGATAAACTAACATTTTGAAAATCAAACAGAAATTTTCTACCTATTGAAACGAATATAAATATTTCAGAAAATTCTTTCAAATGGATTTTTGATCGTATTACGAAGTCATAAAGACAGACATTTAAAAAACATTTGTGTAGGATAAATGTCTTTTCTTCAAAAGTGTTATTTATTTTATTTTTTTTAAATGTTTACTCAAAAATAGTGCTTGCGAATTTATTTTATCATTGGAAAGAAAGACAAATTGCAAAATAAGAAAAAGAATTTTTTGGTTTGAATAGAAAGAGAAAATACTACTCCAAAATTTCAAAAGTGCTTCTGGATCTTGTTTTTTTTTAATAAAATAAACATAACTCACACTTTGATTATGCATCCCAGAATATTATTTTAGTATTAATCTTTTTTTTTCCGAAATTTCTTTTAGGCATATAAAAGTTTTGGAATCCTTATAACTAATACTTTTTGATGGACTGATTTGATTTTTATTAATGTTACAACCGGTCTATCTTTTTTTCTTCATTTTTTGCCAAAAAATTGCTTTTGAATATTTTAAATAATATTATCATAACTATTTTATATATTTTTTTAAAATTCAACTGACATTAAACACCAAAACAAGTAATATATATAAAAAAATTTAGTCAATTCCTACTTCGGTCAGCAAAGAAATATTTTTTTAATTACTTTTTATTAAATAGTTAATATAGTGACAGCATCACGATGTTAAGTGACCAAGTAGAAAGCGATTTCAATACACGGTGTTGGACTATTCTTTGTTTGCTATTTATTCATTAATTAAACTTAATTATTTAAATAAAATACTAAAAAAAGAAATCACATTATCAGAAATCAGGCCACTCCTGGTGGGATTCGAACCCACGACTTTTGGAATCCAAGTCCAACGCGCTATCCTTTGCGCCATAGGGGCACAACAAACTATTTTCCTTTCTATATATGCTATTGGGCAATTATATTCTTGTTTGTTACTATTTATTCATTTTTTCACTTAATGAATGAATTAATATTTGAAAAAACTGTATTAACATCAAGTGTCACCCACTACAAGTTTTAAAAAATGTATTTGAACTTGATATATTTTATTAATGAAAATTTGAACAAGATATTTATATATATAAATAAATAAATATATATACACACATAGAAAGTGAACTAATAGTAGGAATTGAAAAATTAACTTGTTAAATGCAGTGTTGAAATTTTTGAAATGTAACTTGTAGATTGATATAGCAATGTTAAAATTGAAAATGCGTATTATTTAGACACGCGTTGAGTTGGATAGGTTCTTTATTAGTGTTGCACTGAGAATCAACTTACCTCGAAATTTTCAACTATGGTTAAGTGACGAGAACGACTCCTCAGCCGGCACTCTTTTAAATGTCCACTTTGCTCTTAATTTACTACGCATTTCCCCCTTTCCTCAATGATCTCAGGAATTGATTGGACAGAAGCAACGCAGGCCTCGAGTTCGCGACTAGGACCTCCCAGTTACGAGAATGGATAAAAAGAGAGATGCCAATAAAATACTCAAAAATGTATGCTCATTTGTTCAGTGGGTGTCTCTTTTTTTTAAGAATTAAAATAGCTTCATTTAGCTTTCTTTCCAATCATTAACAAAAAAATAGTTTTCATTGCTAATTTTTACTAGACAATAGTTCAATCGTTTATGAATTATTTATAGGGTTAAATAATTACTTTATATAGCCTTTTATCGAGAATTATAATTTGAATGATCCATTTTAACAGCATGAACTTTTAAACGATATTTTGGCTATCAGGAACATGTTTCTATTATATCCAGATACTTCATTAAACTGCATGTCCCCTATAGGAGTTCTTTGAACTCACGTTGCTTGCCCTTTTTCACATATCGATCTGCAGTTAATTGGGTTACACTCATTTCTTAGCTTGTTAATAAAACACGATATCTTACTAGATCAACAAGTCTGCTTGGGGTGCAAAGTATGAAAAGAACTAAATTTTATTCAGAAAGATGTTTATTGTAATTATTATGTTTATTATTATTATTAACAATCTTAGAAGATAGATCTGCACCAAAATATAGTAGTAAAAACAGTTATCTGATGTTTTAAAAAAAAGGATGTCTTTTACTAAATAGCAAAAATTTTATTTTCTACTAGCAATTCTACAAGAATGTAAAATATGTTAGATACGTCATGCTGTGAAAGTAGGATTATATTTAGCTCTAAATAACATTTCAGTCACTGAGTGTATTTTTCGTAGTTATGATGAATCAAGATTGCATGGATTCAAGATATAATTGGTTTCAGAGATTTATATTTTTAAGACCTAAAAAAACATGAATTGTTCTTTGTTTTAAAATTCAAAATCATTTATATTGCCTAAATTTCAGCCGAAATATTTGAGCTTCTAAGCTGTAGTGGCTTCAAAAATTGCAATACACTTACAAATTTTCTTGTTCGTGGCCACTGAGTAGTCATGGTTGTGAACTCGTGACCAGTGTTATCGACTCGTGGGTTAGAATCCTAGTGTCATTTAAGTCTTGCTATATAGAGTGGCTGAGGCTTTAAGTCTTTACCTTGTCATGGTGTGGAAATTTAGAGTGTGGAATGCTTGCTCAGGTGTCGTCGTCATTCGATAAAGGTTTAAAATTACGTAAAATGTCACTAATAACTCTCATAAAGCTTCAAATTGCGCTACTAATAAACAATCATCTCCTGAGTTCGGAAAATTACAATACATCTAATTCCATTAATGTTATTCATATAATCTCCTTTTTGCGTAGCTTTAACCAAGTAAATCTGTTTTCTCGACTGGGTACTTAATTTTGATTATTCCGAGCTTCAAAAGTAGTTTGCTATGATCATAATCATTCTAAGAATAAGAATATACTTTTTCAACCCTGAAGTATACTACGAGTGCTTTTTTTGCGAAAATCAATCTGCAGCTTATTTTGTTCTCTTTCAGACCTTTTAAAGAAAAGTTTAAAGTCATTTCCATGTGAATCATTGAATCCCTTACTCTTTTCCTCCTACTTGATAGATTTATTGTCTACCTTAATCTGCGACAAACATATTTGATTACTTGTCAGTGAAATTGTTCACATAGGAATGGATATGAAGATCCACAAGATGAACCCTTGCATAAATGCATCTTCATCTTGTAGTTCATCACTTGAAATGTTCATTTCAATTAATTCGTTAAGTGAAATGTTAAATGGATTCAATAACCATTGAATTGAAATCGTATGTATTTCAAATGTAAAATCTCATAACGCAATTTTACTGAGCCACTTGACACGACGTAAGTATTTAACTGTCATGTAATTTTTGTAATGTTAGCTTAGGTGATAATTTTGTTTATGGACATAAATATGACTTTTCAGATAGTTTTGCCTTTTTTGGATAACTAATGTAAAAATCTTTCTTTGATTTCTCCTCTATCTGGTAGCCTAGTGGTCAAGGTAATCGACTCGTGCCCTACGCGTCATGAGTTCGAGCCGAGCACCGCTGAAGACCCGCCGTGGGAAGGGGCGATGCACCTTAAATATGTCGATGATCAAGCGTTCTTTTATTGGTGTGGTGCAGAAGTTAGGAGAAGGGGAGCCAGTTAAGGTATCTTCTTCGTCACTTGACCGTGATTCAAAATGATAAGACCCGTCACCAAGAGCCCTCGAGTAGCTGAAGAATGCGACGTTAATGTTCACTGATTCTGGGACATTTTCATATTGGAAATAATCTGTCTATTTGGACAACTGGAAAATCATTACATATGGCTGATGGATTTGTATCCATTATTAAATTTAGTTCACTTTTTAAAAATAGGAATAACAGAATCAAATGAATGAAAGTAAAGGAAATAATCGTCAGCATATTTTCAATAAAAAAAACTTTTAGATATAAAGCTTCAGATTAAATGAATTCTATACATATATGTTACTGTAACTTAGATTTGATCTAGTTTTTCATTTATTATTATTTCTCTTTAAATTCTTCAATATAAAATATCTTCAGTAATTGCAGTGAATGTGGCATATTTTTTTAAATGTTGATTCCGAAATAAATAATTCTAAGATCTCGCATCAAGTACTTGATGGTTAATTTGTATGAGAACAACACGGTACTATTTAATGAAGTAAATTAAAGAACTGTACTTAAAGGTTGGTACTAAGTATTCTATAGCATTATATATATATATAAGCCTAATCAAACAGCATCCATTATAGAATTATGTGAATAGATTACTTGAAAAAACCTCTTTCCAGACAGTAGTCGTAATTTATTAATATCAGACAAACGACATGGAGTGCAAAGTTATATGATGTGAAAAAAAACAAAAAAAACTAAAAGCTAACCTTAGAGAACGTAGATGAAGTACAATGATTCTCTTTTTAATTTAATGAAACGGAGTATTTGCACCAGGCAGCGTGTAATAGAAACACTATTTTCTGGTACATTCTATTATACTTTCAGTAAATACTGTTTCTATTTTCTCTACATCGAAAGTCTGCGCTTTCGATCAAAATTTAATCTGCTCTTTTTCCCTGAGGAAGGCATCACATTTTTCAAGAATTTTTCTTTTTGTTATATGGTGTTGAAGAGTAACATTTTTCTTGGCATCAAGACAGTTGGGTTGAATTTTTTTACATTAGTAGCAGAAGTCAAGTCGGATGATTCCAGAAATAATTTAAAGGAAAAAGATGAGGCTTTCTAAGCAAATCAGCTAACAAATTGTATTTGCTAAGGAAAGCTTACGAAAGTCAATCTGCATCAAAATGTTAAATATTTGCAAGTGAAAAAAAATTAGAGATTATTTATTTATTTTTTTTCTTTTTAAAATATGGCTCAAGTATTTTTTGGTTATTTGCTATATATTTCAGCTTTTCTATTATTATTATTTGTGTAGCTTATATATAAAATAGATGTACAGTTATTTTGTGTTTCTCTCACTCCTTATATTTATATACAAATTGTGTGTATACGTCAATCAGAGAGAATTATAATTGACGTTTAGCTACTTGGATAAAAAAATTACAAGGACAAAAATTATATGGACTATATATAATGCTCGAATTTTAATCACCGTGGAGAAAGGAAACTATTTGAAAAAATTCGTCAAGTAAAAGTACGAATCTGTATAATTTGAAAATATAATTTTTTTTTAAATGAAAATTTTAGTTCTGAAGTGACAAAAAGAATATCTGTTAAAATGTTTCACGTGGACAGTGCCATTAAAATAAAAAATTTTCTGTTCCTTAATCACACATTATAATAAGTCCTTTTTATAAAAGGGGAGCACTGTAGACAGGTAAATAGTAAGTCAATTTGATATTAAAATGTTTCTCTCTTGAACTTTGAAAATAAGAGAAATACTATTTGTATGAAAACAATATTGAGAAAGAGAGAGAGAGAGAGAGATAGGAAACAAAATCAGAAAAATATATTTTACAGATATCGATTAGTCGGACAATTCGCATGAAGTTTTGTGCATAGTGATGTTGAAATTGTAAATTTTTTTTTAATAAACGGTGATTTTTCATGTCAAAAATTTTGTTTATAAATCAGAGATTTAATCATCCCTCTCTATACTATTAATAAAGGTAAAAATTGTTAAATTTTTAAGACATGATACGTTTAAGTTTACGAGCAACAATTTTCATTTAAGTCCTTTTCTCGCAATTCTTTTACGTAAGAATTAACATTCTATTCTGAAGCCAGCCGAGAGGCAATAGGAATGAGATTAGAATAAAGAAATTTTATACATGAATAAATTCGTTATTCGTTCATCTATAACCTCTACATGGACAATTCTAAAAAAATGAAATATAAGGCAGAGTTAAATCAGGTGGAAGTAATTCATGATAATCATGAAATAACGGTTTTATTTTTCAAAGCTCAAAAATATAATATACAACTAAGAGAAAAATTA